TCCCGCTGCACCGGGAGCCTCCCTGCGCGAGGCGGAGAATTTCTGGCGAGTCGCCTGCTCCTCCCGCCGGCCTTTCTTGCCCTCCCCTTTCCCGCTCAAGCGTCGTCACAATTTGGCTCCCTGGTTGTCGGAGCTGCCGCCGCTGCTGCCGCGGTTGTTACTAAAACGAAAACCCTGCCCGGTCTGAAGACGGGCCGATCTTCCGCCTCTCCTCATGCGGGACCGGCACCCGACGGAGGCGGAAAATAACGCAGCTGCGACTGTGTAAGGCGGTCTTAGGTGAAATTGGATTTGGTGTTGCGTTCAGAAGAGCGCCGCAGCGGCTAACCAGATCCTCCAGGAAGCCTTCCATCAAGGCACAGAAACCGGAGTCGTCCTTAACGTCGCCCTTTTTCAAATGGTAGAACTGTTCATGAGCCGAGTCGCCACTCCCTTGAAGTTCATGGGTAACGAGGTATTTACTGCTAGAGCTATCATTCTGTCGAATACCTTTCAAGGTTTTTTGAGTTCATGCCATCATTCTGCAGGGATGGCCTCGTTCGCATAGCATACCAAACCAAAACCAAACAAACCACATTAAGGCTCAAGCAGAAGGGTTCAGCTTATCAAAGTGAAGCATGTTGTCATGAAGCATTCTCTTACCTGTCAAATATACTGCCACATATATTTTAAGAATTGCATTGTTTATGATCCCGATATAGTCTATGTACAATTTAGTATATTAAATATATTTTTATATTTGTTACCTCAGATTAATTCGGTTATTCATATACCTCCTTCCATAATAATAATAAAAAAAGGTTCCAATGCAAGATGGTCTATTCTATGTACGATTCAGTATATTAAAAATATTTTTATATTTCCCTTTGTCACTTAGTCCTAAACCTTCCTCATTAGTTACTTTGGATTCATTCAGTTATTCATATGCCTCCTTCCATAATAAAAAAAGGTTCAAATGCAAGCTGGTCTTCTGACAGGGTTTCATATCAAATCAAATTTCTTTATTACAGTCACAGACCAGAGCTTACAAATAAAAGTACATTAAAGATGCATTAAATGCATTAAGAATACATTAAAATGAAATGAAACAAAACATAAAAATATATTTACAGATTGGTGGAATCATCAATGGGCAGTCAAAGTCTGCCTAATTTTACAAACAGTATAACAAAATTTAGCTAC